TTCAAGCCTTGAAAACGACGTAGCGCGAGAATTCTGGTCTTCTAGCGACAGACTCGCCGTTTCCGCCCCTAACACTAGATAGTAAATTTGGCGGATTAGGTTGTCTTCTAAAACTAAAACAGCTAGTTTATATTACAAAGTTATGGACCTAATATAATTCACGAAGCCAAGTTGGTGCATAAAGATTTTATTCCGGAAATATAGTCAGATCAAAAAAAATAAAAAAAAGAATAAATATGTCAGAAAGGGAAGGCTGGGTGTGAAAATATCAGGATGTGGAAAGTCAGGAGGGTGAAATATTAGGTATGTGGAAATGTGGTGAAGGGGAATGTTGAGGATGTGGAAATGTCGGGAAGGATAAATGTTGGTGATATGTGAAATATTAATGTTGAAATGTGGGGAAGAGGAAATGTCGGGGAAGGAGAAATGTTGGTGATATAAAAGTAAAATGCCGGGAAGGTGGAATGTCAGGTAAGGGAAAATCAGCGAGATTTATGTCAGGGTACTAAAGATTTGTTCTATGCTTCAATGAGTGCTCTATGCCAAGGAGACTCATCATCGACTTTCAACTATACTTTGTGTACAGTTAGCTTTCTATGATAAATATATTATTACAATAGACTTTCCATAAACGGCTAACTGTACACAAGTAAAAGAGGTTTTCTCTTGGTGGCACTCATATATAAACTTAGTTTCGGAAAGTTTCGAAATTTCGGTATAGCTTCGGGCTTTTTGATTTTAGTTTCGAGCAGGGCATTAGAGTTTGGTTTGGTCATCAGACCAAAACAGTTTCGGGCAGCATCATTATATTTGATTAATTTATTTTTGTTTTATTTTTTGTTTTGTTATTATTATAAACTTCATATTACATATATATTGGTGTTGAACACCACAAGTATGTTTTAGGATTTGGCTATTTCATATTTAAAATAAAGTTTAAATTTAATATATATATATGAGAGGCTTGGCTTTGATGCATTTTTGTTTTTTTTATCGCTCATTAGAGGCTTCGTCTTTTTTTAAAGGATTCTATTATGATGAAAGCTTCAACATGGTAAACTTTTTTTAAAGGATTCTATTTTGATGAAAGCTTCAACATGTTAAAAGCTTCATATTTCATTTTTTTGTCGTCCGTAGTTATTTCATTATTTTGTCACTTGAAATACTAAGTTTCGTCAATACGAAACTCTATCTGTATAGTCCAAAATTTGTGTATATAAAAGTACGTTTATGCTAGAGGCTGAATGTTATTGAAAAGCCCCGATCAATTTGTGCACAGCCTTATACGATACATAAGGGCTTAACTTGGACAAAGTCGTAATATTTTAACGTCTTAACCATTTGATTATAACTTTTATGAATTTCTGAAAGTAAAAGAAATTTACACGGTTGTGTCTCTGTTTATAGCAATATATAGTTAGATAAGCAGACACTTTTATACGTAATATTAAAATTTCTCTTTTTTTTCTATTTCTAGAAAGTGTTAATATATCAAGAGGTATACGTATTATTGTTGTACTGTATGTCGAATAGAATCTTGCTAAATTTGAAATCTACTTAAGTAGATTCTAATACGCTTCATTTGAAACGTAATTTTAAATTCATTCAAAATGATAACTAATGTAAATTCCGAATCTACTGAAAAACTCAATTTTTAGAAAAATCATAATATATATGTAAAATTGTTTATATATACATTAGTTTCCGCAAACAATTTCATCTTATTACACTTTAAATTGTTTATTTGCGATATTAAAATTGATTAAGCCTAACATCTGCTATTTGCATCAGCGTATAATGAATTATATGGCGTGACAAATAAAAATTAACTAATACGTATAATAATTCTTATTTGTCACACAAAGTGATCCATCACAACTCTTTGTCAATGGAAGGTGTCTGTGAAGCTTCTCATTTATAGAAGAATACTTATTATATTCAGAAAATTGGTCAGAAAGAATTTCTATGCAATTTTAAGAGCACTTCCACTTTAATAATAAGATTCTTTAATTTTCTAAGACTTCATAAACCAATCTTTCCTAGCTCTACAACGATTATTTGCAATTTTTATAATTGTATTTAATTGATCTTGTAGATCATAGAAATTATAGAGTAATAAAAGGTTTACACCGTGGACTGACATATTTACTGTCAAGAAATTTAGTAATGGTAGGTAAATTTCAAATACATTGAGAGATAAAAATGAATATTTTTGCAATTTAGTTTTTTTTTCAATAATTTAATAAATAAATTGATGAATATAATTTATTTTATTAATTCGATTGTGGTGAATTCGGTGAATTCCAATTCTAAAAATCGAGTCAATTTAGAATTCCGTTGCAACGTATACCATATTTTGAATCTATAAAGATTCTATTTCGACGTACAACATAATTATTTTTATCGTAATGTTAAGCTTGGCACTAATATTAGTTTTGCAAATAGACTAACTTTAATTTGTTATGAATCTGATTTATAAAGATATTTGGAATTTATTCAGTTCATACAATCAAAATGGACTCGGTTATCAAACCTACTAAATGTTGCTATTTTGTTCCCTTGAAAGTAGGAGTTATTATTATAACACTTTTTTGGCCGGTGAGTTACTTTTTAATAAAAATAGCTATTTTAATTAAATTTCTCTGTTTAACGATGTTTTGTTTATTTTAATCTTATTAATATTAATCTTAGATTGAATCAATAGTTCTCATCATTTATTTTACATCAATTATTAAAAATGAAAGTGAACGCAACCTATTTTATGTGTGTTTAGTTTATAGTATCTTAGGCTTGCTAACTATTTTTAGGATTATTACTATTTTTGGTGTGGTATGTGTCTATATTTTTGGATAGCAATTACTTCTCTTCATCGACGCATTGTTTTATCGGCAATTAGTTTAATTATCCATCGATATATCAATTCTGTTTAATGTCATAAAAAGGTTTCATTAGCATTTCTTAAGAGTATGTGGCTATAAAAAGTTGCAGTGAAGTGTTTTGAAACATTGAGATTGTGGGCTAAACTGCATATTTCACATTAAGGACTGATAGTCAGTAAAGCAATGCAAAGTGATTGCTACTGTATATCGATCTTTATGTTTAATGCTTACTGCAAAAGTTTACTAAATATTTTGTATTATAGGCATATCATAAGATCTATTCTATTTTTTTTAGTATTATTGTTGCTAGTTCAGTTTTACTAGATACATTCGGAATAATCGGTATTGCGCTCTTTTCTAACCATGATATAGCATCATGGATAATTGCAAATGCCGTAGATTTTATTCTCTCGGTAAGTTTTATAGTTTGTATATTTGATTGCATTTAAATGACTAATTATTTTTATTTGCCATAATAGATTTATTTTATCTTGATTATTACCTCTTACGCATCAAGACATAGTTCTAAAAAAGAAGAAAATATAAATTTACTGTAAACTTTAAGATTCACATTATTTTTGAATTAAATAATAAGGGGTAAAAAAAAAAATAGCGTATTTCGGAAATAAATAAGAGTTTAAAAAATTTTATTTGTGTATCAAAATTTTGAAATCGGAAAATGAAATGGGAGTGTTTAGAGACTCCCATTTGACGAAATAAGTGAAAATTTTTTTATTATGCAGATCAACAAACTATTTAATAACAAAATACAGAGTAATAATAAAGCTTTTCGCTCAAGT